AAATTTTAATGAGAATGGACGAGGGTTTCCGCCAAGCGCGTGGTAATATCCAGTCAACTCTTGTTCTCGTATGATCGTGGGGCACGAAAGTTGAGAAAACTGTCATGCAAACTCTCGATTCTCAACTCTCATTAACTCTCATGTAAACTCTCGATTCTCAACTCTCATCAACTCTCATGCAAACTCTCGATTCTCAGCTCTCATTAACTCTCATGTAAACTCTCGGTTCTCAACTCTCATTAACTCTCATGCAAACTCTCGCTTATCAGCTCTCATTAACTCTCATGCAAACTCTCGCTTATCAGCTCTCATTAACTCTCATGCAAACTCTCGCTTATCAGCTCTCATTAACTCTCATGCAAACTCTCGCTTCCCAACTCTCATTAACTCTCATGCAGACTCTCGGTTCTCAACCTCTTTTGGCCAGGGCTCAATGCTTGTCGCGAAGGACGCGCACAAAAACTACTGTTGATATAATTGGAACGTATGTTCCCCGAAAATGACAACTCTGTTATTAGAACAGGATGAACGGATTATTTATTAGTAGGAAAAAACTGTTAACAAACCTTTGAAAATTTTAATAAACTATTGCGTAATGTTTCTTCAAATTTCCATAAATCGTAAATATATTGCGATGACTCGATCTTTTGGAAAATCTCAAAGTCCTAGAAATATAATAAACGATAAATTATATGAAGTAACTATATTCACGCCGAATATCCATCATGCAGTTCTGTGCAACCAGTCATTTTTACAGGCTCAGTAAAGATGATTCCTTATTGGGTCAATATTAGGATGTTGAAGGGTGTTTTGAATATGGAAAGTTCAAGTGAATATTATGTGCTGATCCTGGATGGGTAAAAAACCCCGCCCTTCAACAGTTGTTCCTTATTGACCCAGTGTTACTATACATTTGGATAGCAATAATGCCATGCTTTATTTGTTCTGTGTAACTAACGGGTGTGGACTATAAAAGAATGGACAATCTAAAACCAACTGTAAAATGAGTTTGACACAAGTATTCGGAGCAATAAGAACGCATGCGAAAATGCATTAGGTCATACTTACGGAATGTAAGAGAAAATAGAGATAGAAATCAGATGGAGTAAAAAATACTAAAAATCGCTCTTGACTATAAAAAACCAAGATCTTCCATGCAGAAACCACTGAGGAGATACACAATATATTAGTGTTTCCACAGTGTTCATACCGATGCCATAAGTCATAATTTGGAGACGAAATGTCAAAGATATCTTTGAAAAGAATATATTTCCTCAAATAAGTCATTGTGAGTAGCAATTTCAAGGACATCTCCTTTCAGTGACAGTCGCACAAATAGATCAAATTTCATTGTAGCAGGTTCATGGACTTCTCTAAGCCACTGATAATAATCTGAATCTTCAAAAAAGCATTGTCTTTATACGAGAGAGTGCACACAAATCAAGATGTTTTGTCTATTTTGCACATTTTGGCCGTTATTGCAAAGATTACTATGGTTAGTTCATTGTAGGCCAAAAGTGCTGGTTCCAGAATTGCAGCCTGTTAACAACAAATGTGTCGTACGATAGTTTAAGTGAAAGCTTGTTCACTCGACTATTACGGACAACGTTTGCCTAGTACTAAAGGCTGTACAGTGTGCTGAAATTTGTCCACATTTTTAGTCCCCACCCGTTACAGGAGGAAAGCCTTCAAATTGCAAACGCTCTTCTTGTACACTGAGACGAACGTCTAATCAAACTGTGTTATATATTGCGTGCATATATTGCAGACATCGAACCTTTTTTTCACATAATTTGCGGATCATTGATCAGATAACAGCCTACATTCACCCGAATCTCACCAATGGGAGACCAAACTCTGGTTCATACTAATATCACTAATATTATACTTTTAGAAGTTCTCACATCTAAAAACATGTTCTGGTAGTCACAGTCCTACTCTCAGCGGCCAAGGCACACCTTAATCCAGTGCATTACAAAATTCATTAAATCATGCTTACCCGTAAAGTGACTTGTCGAGCAACTTCGGTTGAGTCCAAGTCGGCTAAGGTATACCGTAGTTCCTTGCCCAATTCCTACACAAGAGTTAAAATAACAATTGTTAGAAAAATTTAGGATGCTAATACATTCCTATCCTGAAATTTTTCCTGAAATTGGTTAAAAATACACCAACATTTAGAAAATACAATCACAATCAGTGGCTTTACGAAAATACTGCATGGGGTGGCTGAGTGGCTGTCGCCCTCTCGCTTTCCCCATAGTGTCTGCCACAGACTAATTTCAATAAGAAAGCGTTATACAAACCTGTATCGTTTCCTCAGGCAGTAATGTAACGTCAGTTGATGTGAAATCTTTGAGATAATATCGACCATTTAACGAAGCTTTATTGACCAAATCACACATCATGTCTGGCAGTCGTTTCTGTTTTATTAAATCTCCTTGATTCACCGTGATTTCAGTCAGGGAGAAGTTTCTGTAAGATAAATATCATTTATAGTTTACATTAATACTACTATATGATATATATTCAGGTGTTGCAGTGTGACGTCTCATAAAAAATAATCCGCCATTTTAGGTGGCAAAAATATTTTATTCAATCGACTACTACACAGCTGTGGAGCATTGCAACTCTTTAAAGTGCTCAAACAAAGTCTTGCTTTGACGCCATGTATGCGTTTAATTAACTATTTTTAATTTGCTACTTGCAAAATTGTGCTGTCTCTTGCAAAACCCAATACGCTCGTGAAAATCTCACATCTTGTTAATAAATCTTGCTGGTCAAAAAGTGAAGCCAGGATGGCGTCAATTGAAGAGCTATTGAACGTCAGTTCCAGTCCCTTTCTATTGTTTTTGTCTGCGCGGTTAACACGAAGCTGGAAGAAGTATATCGAAATTTCGTATTTTGACATCGATATAAGGAATAACACTATGATTTTATGAACTAATAACTTTTTTAGCGATACAGTCGTTTAGAAAAAAACTAGAATTTACGACCTTCAGAGCTATTGGACGTCAATGGCGGCCATCTTGGTTTCACTTTTCTCATAGGCCGAATGACTGAAGCTCCAGATATATAGAGAGCTTTAGATTTTACTTCGAGTGCGACTACGACAACGTTTATTTGTATACGCCATATTTTTACGCCGCCAAGAACTGACGCATTTTAAATGGCCAAATGACAACAGGATTTTAAAAAAGTGACGTGGTAAAACAAGCGCCCACTACAAGATAATGGCGTACAATACCGTCAGTACGTACGTAATGGCGTAAGAAGATGGTGAGTATGTGCCATTGAACTATAAATAAACTGGAAGGCTAACTGCTATGATGAAGGCTTATGATTTGATGAAGCCAAAATAGTTTTTCTGAGTTATGAGCAGAAATACTTGACCCCAAACGTCGGGCTATATATCAAATTGAAGCTATTGAAAATTGCTATTCGGTGTGGAAATTTCAAGACTTCAGCAAAAAAGAAAAATCTTTAAAAAATACAAAAACAACTGCAAAACGGCAAATTATCGGTAATTATGTTTGTAGTTTTTCAATATTTCCCTTTTAGCTAAAGTCTTGAAATTTCTACACCAAATAGAGTTTTTCAATAGCTTCAATTTGATATATAGCCCAACGTTCAGTGTTGAGTATTTCTGCTCATAACTCAGAAAAACTAAAATGCACTGGCTTCAATTTCCCCCCCTGAGTTAGCCTTCCAGTTTATTTATAGTTCAATGGTATGTGCAAACAACGAATGTCGTAGTCGTACTCGTAGTAAAATCTAAAGCTCTCTTATATCACAGAAAGTCATCTCAATTGTTTTTTTTGCGTAAGCGCTATTCGTCATGATTCGTCACTCGGCAAGTACAGTAAACAGAAGCAGTCATCCCCCCCCCCTGGACGTGTGCCATTTTGAATATTTACAGGAGGGGGACTGCTTCTAGCAAAAAACAATGGAGATGGACTTCTGTATAGTATTATTTACTTATATAGAGGCTCACTGCATGCTACTTTACGCGTGCTTATTCACTACATGTTACTTTACGCGACCATGTAATCACATACGTCAGAATACAAATCGTACACGACAAGTGGCAGGGTGTAAACGTAACTTTAAGCTCTCTACTGGTGGATTCGAAACCCGTTGCAGAGATGAAAGCCACTGTCACTGGACCGACACTAATAGAAATTTTGGAATAAACTTCATATACTTACGAAGCAGACTCGGCCAGTGAAAATGCATCAACGGCCATATTAACAACCTCACGAACCGTCGTATCCTGAAAATAGACAAAAGTAAACTGATATTATAATAAAGTAATTAAATATGCGAAAAAAATAGGCACTGAGCAAGTGCATAAGGATTTCGATTGAATTTCGATGTTTCCTTATAGGCTATACCGGCCAGTAAGAATCGTCCATTGCTGATCCAGTGTCACTACAGGAGGACACAGAAACTATTAATTATTACTTTACTTACGCTGGATATCCCGATTAGTGTTAAACTGTTCTCGTTAAAGGTCCAGTAATGTCACGCATACACAAACTCAATCACAAAATATATACACAAAGTTCAAATTTTATTTTAATAATAATACATGTAACAGAATTATTATTAATATAAGGCTAAGCCATCTGTCATTAAAACAAACTGTTATAATGGCAAAATACTAATTGATATTACCTTTAGTTCTTTCACTAGAAAATGTATGACCCAACGTCTGAAAGCCTGTCTACACGAAGTATACGGTACTTCAGAATAAATTATTGTCATTTTAAGACAAGGCATTTTATCTTGACTCATAGGATTGTAAATCATAAACAACAATCGTATCGCTTGGGCTGAGTAAAGCTTTATATTATAAATTATTTTTAACGTAGTTTTAAATCTCATTCTAGTCTCCTAAAAATGCTATAAAACTTTGCTGTCCGTTGGAAAGTTTCTCGGATGAAAGTCTTCTTTTGATCTACACACTTCTTATGGCAGAAGACATGCTGTTGCATCCTCTCTTTGACAGTGCATCGCTGGTAGTTTTTTCCATCTGTCTTCACCCAGTACCATGTACTCCACTGTATTGAGAGGTGTTTGACAGTGAAACATTTGATGGTGATGGTTTTCACTTGAATATGTTCTTCCTCCAATAGCAATTATTTTATCTCCCATAATCATTGCAGCAAAGTGTGATCTAAAATATAAATTATCTCGTGGTTAATTAGGATTTTCACCTGACAAATAAAATCGTTGCATGGGCTCACTGGAAAGTGCTGAACAGAAAACATGTGAACGGGTACAAGGTGTGTGGGTTCTCCCTAAATATTTTGTTGTTTTAAAAATTTAGACCTTGATTTCAAGCGTTATCAGGCTGCAGTCTGTATTAGTGCATACACAAAGTCATAAAAATGATAAAATCATCTGCCAGATATAATTGTGGACACGCATTCATTCGTAATTGCATATTCAATACAAAATAATGTAAAAGCAGCTCACCTTCTTTCCAACATGCTTGGCAACTTGCGGCAGGTTTGATTTGTAATGTTATACATCAAAACATCATTAGAAATTTCTCCATACTGTTTACAACCGCCCAGAATTATGAGATTGCCATCATGTACGACTGCAGCCATATCAGACCACTGATAGGGCAATGGTGCTAGATTCATTATCACTTGCGTTGTCGGGTTATACATTAGGACATCATCTCCTAATTTCGCGCCAACAAGGACCACTGCATTTTCGTTGACAAAGGCGACACAATGGGGACGATCTCTTCCTTTCTTGGAAGCATAAGAAGCAAAATTTGTGATTTCAAATGGAGATTTAAGGGATATTGTTGAAACAGAATGTCGGCTGAAAGTCAATATTTTGTCACCACATAAAATGCCTTTACCACGACTGGGCATCAATAAAGGAAACACATCTGAAGAAACACTGGCAATATCCAGACATTCCACTCTGTTCGTTTTGTTCCCACCACAAATCATAACCTTGTTGTCGTAAACGAAAGAAAGTCCGTCCTCATGGTCGAAGAATAAAGTGTCCTCATACAAAGTCCATTCCTGAGTGGACCAGTCGAAGATTTCGTATGACTTGTTGTCTCCTCCAGCTACAAATATCTGACGGTTGACTGTTGCTTGGTTTTGAATTGGACTTGACATAGAACTGACTTGGCTGAAGAGATTTGGGGAGGCGGAATCGGCTTTACTATTATCACATTGTTGTCCTCGTGTTGGATTAGGCTGTCTTACTTCTCTTGCTGGCTGCAGTAAGTTGTTGCTTTGTTGCCCTTGCGTTGCACTAGGTCGCCTTGGGTTTCTACTTGCCAAGCGTTGGGTTTCCACGCCTTGTCGAAGCTGTAAAATATAGAGACAAGTATTTATATTTTATTGTTAATTACTTAATTTCATTTTAGTCAATTTACTCGCTTCTGATTCGTTAAAAACCGTGCCGATTGACACAAAATCTAAATAACAACTGGAAAATTTATATTTTTATTGCTCTTATTTTGAAATGAGCTCTTTAATTAAGTATATTGAAATATTAAAGAAAAAGAATAAATAAAGATTATTCACAGGTATGAATTGAAAATTAATGTCAGAAATTACTCTCAAAATTGACAAAGGCGCGTATGGCTGTGCTCCCATGACTACATTAATACAATCTTTCTAATCATTGACATTGATTGCTCGTGTAAAATTGACTATATTAGAATGATATCAATACGTTTTTGCACTTGTTTCTCGAATTATTAATGAATTATTATTTATAATACCGCTCGTGCTATGACTCGCGCGGTTTATTATAAATATTTCGTCAAACAATTATCAGGGCTCGAAATAGCGGACTGCCAAATGCCAATGGCCAAAAGCAGGCCATATTTTAGAAATGGCAGGCAAAAATAAATTTGAACAGCCAAGTGAAAAAAAAAATGGCAGGTGAAATTCTGTAGATATATTTCATTTCATATGCGATAACAACAATTCAAGACAAGTCTAAAAAGAATAAAAATTGCATATCATGAAAACATTGATTTTTACAAGACTAATGTAAAAAACATCGCCATATTGGCAGTTCAAAGAATAAAAATAGCGGGCTAAAATTTATTTCACCTGCCAAAAAAATTTAGACTGGCAGGCCATATTTTTTCTCTACTTCGAGCCCTGCGGCAAACATGCGGGTTTATAAATATTTCGCCAAATATTCGCCACTTCATGTGCTCACCTGTTCGTCTTGAATTTCTCGCAAAATTCTCTTAACTTCAACCAATTCTCGTTTATTCTCATCCACTTCCTTTCGCAAGACACAAGTATGCTTTCTATATTCTGTTTGTCTCATCGCCTCGTGACAATCTTCACAAGTTACCAAACGAAATTCACAGGCTTGCTGATGGCTGACGAGATCTTGTCTGTTTACCGTCGCTTCACATCCTTCGTGCGAACATTGAACAGGAGCGAAGCCGCATTCTTCGCGATGAGACAACAAAGCTTCATGTCTCACTGCGCTCGTACATCCACGACTGGCATACCTGCATCTCGGAGATTGAAACTGCTCGAGTAGACTCGCCACAGTTCTCGGGATAGGACGAAGTGTTTCGGGAGTAAGTGCATCTTGACAAACAGGGCAGGTTTGTGATCGCGTTAAATGCTTGGTTATACATTTCTTGCAAAAATAATGTTCATTCTTCACACATTGAACAGGTTCTTGTAGCACCTCCAAACATATATTGCACGTAAAATGATCAAGATATGCGGTATTGGTGTCATTTGGAGTCGTAGATGCATTCGCCATTGCGACGTGTCTGAGCATGCAAACAACAAAGACTTTTGTAATATCATACAACACATTCTTAGAATAAATGAATATTAATCGTCAGTCGAGCATGACAATTAAGGAGTGTTAAAAATACAATTACATAAAGAAGCCAACATATATATAAATAAGTTATAAATCTAATACACAGGGTGTATCAAAAAAATGTACACCTTTTCAAATTCAAGTTAACCGTGGCGTAACCTATTGTACGTAGTAATTTGACAGCCGTATAGTTTCTCAGTCGAGTTAATTATATATATATATATATATATATATATATATATATATATATATATATATATATATATATATATATATATATATATATATATATATATATATATATATATATATATGAAAGCGTTATGGTTGCCATGCCTGGTTTCAATGTGAATGGTGTTTTTTAAAATAAAACAAGAACTTCCTCAGGCATAAAAAAGATATAATGACTATAACCCAGACGTTTCGCCGGTTAAGGCTTCTTCAGTGGGTGAAAAATTTTACAACAATATTAAGGCGTCTTTTATACATGTCGTCCTAATTAGAATAGTATATAATTAAGTATGATGAGTGAATGAGTCTGATTGTTTGAATTAAAAGTCTAAAAAAGTTGGTATAGTAAAAAATGTTAAAAATCTAAATCAGTCTGATTGAATTCTAAATGTATATACAGTTGATGATAAAAATGTTAAAATATTCATAATTATAATCCCAAATGTTAGATTGTTATTGTTCTACCAGTACAACCATTCATTAAATCGCCTGTATGCTTCTGTATTTCCATCGCCTCAATGCATTTACGCTCGTCTTCATACACAAGGTTCCATATATAATCCTGTATAAAGATTTAAAGGCAACCATCTGCAGTGAACCTAAACCTTGTCCAGTGTATTGTCTACCAAAGGATCACAAGGAGGGTGATTTGAAAGGTCGGCCAATACACGCGGCCACGGACACGCCAGCCACACTTTTATCAAAATATTTAGCCAAATCTTTAAACACTTTACTCCGATACGTACCAGCACACTTGAGAAACACACACGACTTTAAGGAATTCCTTTCTGGAATAGACGGTAAAGCTATTGAAAGTTTTTGTAGCTTGGACGTCTGCAATTTATATGGATCTATACCACTTGAAGATCTCAACGGTAACACGCCAAGCGTGTTTACAGTTGCTAAGCGATTTTTCCAAAAGTACAAGAAGGAATGCAACCTATTGCCGCTGGATGACGATGATTTTGACACACTTGTTCGCCTTTGTCTATCAAGTGATAATGTTCTAATTGAAGGGACAGGTTATAAACAGAAATCAGGCTTAGCAATGGGTAATAATTTGGCACCCATGTTGGCTATCATATACATGAATGATCTAGATTCACAAATTTTGGAGAAAACAGATGGCTATGTAATACTTAAACGCTATATAGATGATTGCTTTGCATTTCTGTTGTCAAAATGTATCTCAGGAGAACGCCTTTTAACTATAGCAAACGGCCTTAATGACAATATAAACTTCACCTTAGAACTACCCAACCAAAACCAATTACCCTTCTTATAGACACGATTGTTGCCTTTAATCCGGAGAGTAAAACTGTTTCCACCAAGCTTTACATTAAGCCTATACACAGTCGTTGTATCACACCCTGGGACAGTCACGGACCTATCGCTGCTAAGCGCACAATTCTCATCGGCGAAACCAAGCGGGCAGTTACATGTTCAACCGACTCCAATTCACGTAGAGAATCATTGCGTCAACTCACAGATCTTTTTGTTAATAATGGGTATCCCAAGAAATTTGTCAAAACCACAATTAGAAACACCTTAAATAATAAATCTACCAGAGAGGATGAAATTACATATACCTATTTAAAGCTTCCCTTCATTAATGAAGAATTTAAACGGCGTGCCCTTGCAGTGGTAAAACGATCGGGAATAGACAACGTCAGAATTCAATTTATGAACGGAAAATCATCACGTAGAGTGTTTGCTCCACCCAGAGAACGGACACATTGCTCTAAAGCTTGTGAAACATGTAAATGTACCAATAAAGTCGATAAATGTCTCAACAAGAATGTAGTTTATAAAATTAAGTGCTCATACTGCGAGGCATTATATACAGGGTGTCTCAAAAAAAACCAAAATCATTGAAATAACGTATTGTTCGAATTTCAATGCCGTAACACAAAGGATTTTGACAGGGTGATTAATTTGTTTTAAAAAATTAAAATATCTTTGTAAAGTGAACGTTTGTTTGCTCATGGGAATTTAAAAATGCTTCGTAAATTGTAATATGCGTAATATGCATTCGTGGGTTTGGTACTTTATGCCTGACATAACAAGTTTACGCTGAGTATTACCATTCATTATAGCAGTTATGTCAATCTTTTATGCACTCGTGGGATTAACTTAGTGCTAGGGCATTGAATATCGAACAATACGTCAATTTCAATGATTTTGGGTTTTTTTGAGACACCCTGTATAGGAGAAACGGGTAGGACAATAGGAACACGCATCAAAGAACACCTGACGATGAAACAGCAAACAGTATATAAACATTTGATGTCCCACAAGAGAAAGAATCAGACACCTGGAAATAAAGACATTGAATGGAGGATTATATATGGAAACCTTGTGTATGAAGACGAGCGTAAATGCATTGAGGCGATGGAAATACAGAAGCATACAGGGGATTTAATGAATGGTTGTACTGGTAGAACAATAACAATCTAACATTTGGGATTATAATTATGAATATTTTAACATTTTTATCATCAACTGTATATACATTTAGAATTCAATCAGACTGATTTAGATTTTTAACATTTTTTACTACCAACTTTTTTAGACTTTTAAATTCAAACAATTAGACTCATTCACTCATCATACTTAATTATATACTATTCTAATTAGGACGACATGTATAAAAGACGCCTTAATATTGTTGTAAAATTTTTTCACCCACTGAAGAAGCCTTAACCGGCGAAACGTCTGGGTTATAGTCATTATATCTTTTTTATGCCTGAGGAAGTTCTTGTTTTATTTTAAAAAACACCATTCATATATATATATATATATATATATATATATATATATATATATATATATATATATATATATATATATATATATATATATATATATATATATATATATATATATATATATATAATGCAAATGCAATTGCCAAAAACCAAGTGAATGCCCTATGTCAAAAAATTGTTTAGCAAAATCTGTTATCTACCAAGCCACAGTAAAAACATCTGACAAGCGGCCCACTCAAACATATGTTGGACTAACAGAAAATGAATTCAAAACTCGATACACCAATCACAAAGCTTCATTTAATAACTATGAGAAGCGTAATTCTACTGAATTAAGTAAATACATCTGGAATCTTAAGAACAATAATATTTTAGTTACTCTATCAGATGGAAAATTTTAAAACGCGCTAAATCTTACAGTAATGCATCCAAGAGATGTAACTTGTGTATCTGGGAGAAGTATTTCATTATTTGTAAACCGGACATTGCAACACTTAATCGTCGCAACGAACTTGTCTCCACGTGTAGACACGCTAATAAATTTCTACTTAAAAACTCTATAACTTGATACTAATATTTTCGTGACACTACTTGAGGTGTTAATTGATTTGTAATTAGATAAGCGTCCTTTATACCATCTGTACATATTTAAAAAGTTCGTTAAAAAGCTATAGGTCAAACATAGGCTATTTTATCTGAAGAGTGCCACGTTATTTACGTGGTACGAAACTGTATAGTAATAAAT